TCCACAAGCCCGCACGTGAGAACCACTCACACTTAGAGACTGAATTTGAAAGCTTTAGCTCGCATATGCACAGAGAATATCTCAACAAAGTTTCAGCTCTCTATCTGGTCTGGCTCTCAAAATCGCTTTCCCGCCAAAAAATATGCACATTTTTTGAGACGTTCGTACGTGGGAAAGAGTTGTAAGCAAATGATAATATTAAAACGGAAGGGTCGTAGAGGTAGCGGGCACACGCCTCCGAAGCTTCAACTTTCAAGCTTTCGTAGTTCCCGAGTTGAAAGTAGGTGACAAAAAGTGCGAACACACAGACAACCTTCGTTTCTGCACTTGCACATATGCAAAAACGCATAAAACAGGCTCAAGTGCTTCTTTCGTTATACTTCAACACACCAATGCATTTGCCATTTGAAATACAAATATTGCTAGTCACTGCTTTGTCTCTTTAAACTGCAGTTTATCTGTAAGCCGTAAATCTGTGCTAGTAGGGGCGGAGTAATGGTAAGCAGTACCACTGTTTTGCTAACTGTCAAGAGTTGAACTCCATCACTTGCTCTCTTAATGAATTCGCCCTTCTTCGTTCTTTTTGATGACAATTTGGTGCTGGTACACGCCAGGAAGCCGGCGTCAGATTGCTTTTAAAAAAAATCGAAAGAAAGCGCCATCAACAGCCATGTCGATCTGCGGTTGCTGTCAGCTTGTATTGCCATTAGTTCTACTTCCGAGTGCCTCCGGCTCTCATAAAGGATGAACAACGAGTAGGAGTTTAACTTTTACGACAAATCTGTAATGTCGGTTTAAATGGCCTGTAAAAACGTTATTTATTAAAGGATCTGTGTTACTTTCTTTGCTGCAGCAAGTGGCCACATTTAATTTTTATACAATTTTTACAGAAAAAGAAAGAGGAAATATATCAGTAAACAAATGGTGTGAGAATTAACTAGCGGTATATCCAAAAGCAACAAAATACCTATTTTCTTAAACGCCTAAAGCAGCAGTGACAAAAAAACCGATTTGTCATCTAAATGAGATGAAATCTAATAGCGGCATGCCCCGGACTTGCACGATCATGTGTTTTTGCAGCCAGCTAATCCAGTTATCCTTCGCACACAGGCAAAGAGCATCATCCTAGAATTTATCCTTCAGTAAATGTGGGACATGCCCGATGAGGTTCTGATCTTGGCGTGGTCTAGTGGAGCACACAAACTGATACATTATAGAAGTTCTTCATGATGCGTAGTTGCATTTAATTATAAAATGAGAAAAGAGGGCTACAGGGCATTATACACAGTCAGCAGTTAGCGCATTAGTAAAGGAAAATGACTTATCTGTAAAATATGGAGCTTGCTGGGGGACCCATTTTTGTTAATAAATAGATTGAAGCCTATTGCCAATAGATGGCATATGAATGGAATGCTGTCCAAATGAGCCGTAATCCGAAGGCCAAGATGCACCCGAAGATTGTCGAGGCGGTGCCGTAAATCAAGTTGACGAGATGATGAAGATCAAGAGGATCCCAACTGAGGAAAAGGGGGCCTTATATAGTAGGGGAGAGGACGCGCCGTTCAGGCTGTTGTCCCACCATGTCTAACACCCTACCCAGATGTGTTCCCAGACACCGGAAATGTTTGTTCCCCCCAAACAATGGGTTACGGTATGGAAAAAAAAGGGCCAAAAGATTATTAGTGGGGAACGGAAATGTAAAAGAAAGGATTGGGAAAAAAACAAATAAAGGCATTTATTAAATAATACCCCGTTAGCGTAAATGCAGCTTTGTCATCAAAACAACTGCATTTACACTTCGCACACAGGTAAAGAACATAATCCTAGAATTTGAACTTCTCAGCCTTTCTTGATGCCAAGTTAGTAATTTTCTCGCAAAAACCTCCTGGCATCCATATGTGAGACCCACTCGTACTTAAGAATTGAATTTGAAATCTTTGGATCATATGTGGAATATCCTCTCAAAACTTCAACTTTCCAGCTTTCAAGTAAAACCGTACGTGAGATGCAGACATGCGTGAAAGTCGGTATCACGTTTCTGGGCCGCACTTGGCCAGAGGACCCTTTGAAGAAATTTCTTCATCCAAGATTGCTTCGCTGCTGAGTTGAAATACCGAGACAGACGGACACGAAGACACAAGTGCACAGAGGTAGGATCGTCATAGTACGTGTTTTTACTGCAAAAACGCATAAAAATGAGACAGATTGTGCCATGTTAACTTTAAATCTACTGAAGTTCCGGAAGACAACGGGAATTTTTCAAAGAGAAGATACGCAGGGAAGTGGAAAGTCCAACTTTGAAATTACAAAGTGTAAAAAAACACTTAGCGACATCTCAAACCAGGAGTGTCCGTCTGAAATAGGCTGGAAAATAAAATAATATGAGTGGTAACACTAGGTTTTCCTGATTGCATCCCGCCAAAGACCTTCAGTAAGCAACCGAATTAATTAAAATGTCTAAATATACTAAACAAGCACTTCACTTAGTACATTTGCTACACAACATAATGCTCTGCATGATATTCTACGCGCATGAACATAATTCACCCTCTGTCCTAAACCGGACATTTATATCATCTGGAAATTAACAAACGATCTAGCTTATTGGGAAATTGGCAAATAGTGTAGCTCATACGGAGATTTATTTCCTAGAAAATAACTGCAGAGCTGGAAGAGATCAATCGATAACACAATTATTTACGAACTGATGGAAAATGTTCTTTTTCGATTTTGTTCCCAAATTAAGTCGCGCACAAATTCTCCTTTCAAAGCTTTCAAGCATTTTCGATAGGAAGCTGAAGAACGATACTGAGCTATTTCATTGGACGGCAAGTGTGGCTGATGAACAATGAAAACGTCAGGAAGAACGACAAATTCGAACCTGTAAATTTGAGTCAATTAGAAATATTTCAATTGGCTTCAGAACTGTGCATGGAAATATGTCACCGAGTGCACTGAAGCGTTGAAAAAATAGAACTCATTTCAAATACAGATACGTGAAACACAGGAAAATGAAACAAAAATGGAGAAATTCAAATCCTCCTAAAATGTCTAGAGTATTAAAATACTGAAATTTTGCGCCACAAGAATGTAGGACATTGAAAGGATTAACCAAAAACAATTAGGAACGTTTAAAGCAGACCCTGCGCTATTTAATGACATCACATGTGAGACTCTATTCCAACCAAATCCTACAAATCGCTGATCGTACGATGGCAACCCATTGCGTGGTACCACGACAAATGGCTCATAATCGGTTCTCCATGTGACCTGAGGTATTCGCACAGTTACGAACCCATCAATAAAAAATACAAGGAAAAAAGCAGCACTGTCCATCCATTTATTATGTTTTTTTGCTTCTCCATCGTTTGTTAAAGTGGACAGTGACGAAAGTTGAAGAGCGAACGTTTATTGAAACACAAAGAACAGCAGAACGAAGGATACTTGATGTGCCTTTTCATGACCATATGAATAACCAGACTCCTCGTCACATGACTCGGGATACTGCATTCATGCGAGAAAGTTTAGTTCAGGTGCTGACCGCCTTGTCAAAAATCAACAGATCCCGTGTACCAATTAACAGCATGTGCAAAAAAGTAGACGACCATCAGGGAGGGCACGGGAAAGGTGATATATACACAATGAATAGGCGGTAGATACTAAATCATTGGCGACGCGCACCAGGCGGGCCCGTGCGAACATGAATTTTTGCAGTATTTCATGTTGTTGTTAGATCGCTTGGAATCACAATAGCGAGAATTTATAACATACTGGACCACGAAAGGAAGTTAGTCGTAAAACTACCATGTGTACTTTAATTTTCGCGGGGTCACACGCGAGAACTAAGCACATCTGGGGCTGAATTTGAAACCCTTTAGTTCCAAGTGCACGGGAAAAAGCCCCTCAAAATTTCAGCTTTCCAGCTTTTCTGGTCCCCGGGCTAGCGATTTCCTTCCAAAAAATTTCACGAAGCCATGCATGAGTGCCACGCACACCAGGGAGCTAAATTTAAATTTAAGTTTTACATGGGCTGGGAACATATCCTCAGAATTTCAGCCTCACATTTTTTCTGGTTCCTGAGTTAGCAACTTTTCCGTTAAAAACTTTCACGTGGTCGTGCACGAGAGTCACGCGCTCCTGGGGTCTCAATTTGAAATTTTTAAGTTGAATTTGGGCTGGGACCACTCCCATAAAATTTCAGCCTCCCAGCCTTTCTGGTTCCGAGCTAGCGAATTTCCCGTCAAGAAATTTCACGGAGCTGGACGCGGGGACCACACATGCCTGGAGGCTGTATTTAAATTCCTTAAGTTGTACGTGGGCTGGGAACAACTTCTTAAAATTTCAGCTTCCCAGCTTTCTCGGTCCCTGAGTTAGTGATTTTTTCGTCAAAAATTTTCATGGGACTGCAAGTGGGAAGGACGGAAACTTCAGCGACTGAATTAAAAAACTTTGAGTTCTATATGGACGGGGACAGCAACTTCAAAATCTCAGTTTTCTAGCTTTTACGGTTCCCGAGTTAGTGAATTTTCCTGCCAGAAGCTTTCACGGGGCCATAGGTGGGAATCACGCATAGCGGGGAGCTGAATTTAAATTTAAGTGGCACATGGGTTAGAAAAATCCCCTTAAAATTTCAGCTTCCCAGCATTCCTGATTCCCGATTGGCGATTTATCCGCCAAAAATTTTCACGCGGCTGTATGTGAGCAGCACGCATACCTGGGGACTGAATTTGAGAACTTTGAGCACTATGTGGAGGGGGAACATAATCTCAAAATTTCTTATAACATTTTCAATCTTCTTACATTGTTCTCTTCTTGTCTTCCAGTGTTGGCTACCATTAGCCAGCACGCAAATAAGGGAGCAGCTTTTGGCTGCTCAAACTACATGCAGCATGCTTCTTAGGAGCATGCACCAAATTTTTGGTCGTAAGACCGACTTCCATCTGCATTCTCTTACGTCTCTTACTACTCGTACTATACTTCACGCTGGTGTGTTACCTTTATTATTAACATAATTCCTACACACACCCTTAAAACATTTCACAACCACCTTTGTTCACTACAAACTTACCACTCCTATCTCCATTTTAGTTTCTTCGGGCCTAGAATGTTTTAGACAAATCTTCTGACACTTCTTGATCTGGTGCCGCCTCTACTATCGCCATGAGATTTCTCCCGCGCTTAGAGACTATACAAGGGCGTATTCTACTTCAGTTGTTACCTTACTCATCAAGACAACGGCACCGCGTCACCGACTGGAAGAAGCAGAAGATTCGACCAAATATCTTACTCGTCCCGACAGCGGCTTAGCGTTGTCTGCTAAGAAGAAGCAGAAGATTCTACAGATTGTCCTCACCGCGTCGTCGTCACCGTCATCATCCCTAACAGCACCCCTACATTTAGTCATTTGTACTGGTTATTCTATTCTGCCAATACGATAGATGAACGTCATCAACTCTACGCATCACGGTACTTTTACTTTTTTGCATGTTTTTAGCTTAGCATTTACTGCTCGTTTCGTACATTTTCCCAAGCCTACAGACTCTGTGCCCCTCACTTTTTGTAGATTGCAATTGGGGCACCTTTCCCGCTCCTAACATATCCCACATCACATGTCAACTGGTTTACTACACATGTACTC